GTGAGCCGCAGGGGCCTGGTTTTGCGGCTCGGATCTCTGACAGGGAGGCTGGAGAGGGTGTGAGTTCGAGCCCTGGTACCAGCAGAGAAGGGAGGGAGGGAAAGGAGGAAAAGCAAGGGTATATGGCAGAGAAGACACTCCCACAGTTGAGAGGGTCGGTGGGAGGGAGCCCCGATAGCGTGGCAGGGAACCCAAAGACTGGAGCGAAGAATGGGAGCCGGAGGGAACTGTCCGTGCCATGGCTGAGAGGGGCAGCTCTGGAGTCCAGAATCACGAGGAGGGCAGAGGGGGTACGGGCATTGACTGCTCAGGTCGGGTTTTCTGGTTTGCCTTGGACCCAACCCCAGGCCCCGATCCTCCTTCCCGGGCCTCCTACGAAGCTGCTCATCCACTGAGATAGGGTGGGGATGGGAGCGGTCTCCCTGAAGTCCCTCACGCCTGCAGAGCACCGAGGGGGCGGGGGGCCTACACAGGCAGAGCTCAGGAGGCTGAAGATGTTGGGGTTGGAGTACAGGGCGGTTGCCCGCAGGGGGTGCCAAGGCCTTCCACGTGGCCCTCTTACCCCAACCCGTTAGACCAGTTTTCATCTAGGGCGAGCCTCCTGCCCCACCGCCCATGGCTCCGTGGGGTGACGCCGATGTCGCCCTGGGCGTCATCAGGCGGGGGGGGGGGGGGGGGGAGGGCATGTTCGAGTTGTGGGGGCTGAGAATGTCCCTGTGAGGTAGAGTGTTTGCCTGGCACGCACCAAGCCCCGGGTTCGACTCCCGAGTACCACAGAAGCCGGCTGAGCGCCAGCCTTGAACACAGAGAAGCTCGGGGGTGGTCCTTGGGCCCTGAGTTCAAGGCCCAGGACTGCCAGAAGAAGAGAGGAAAGTCTGGAGGGATAAGACGTGTCCAGGACGGAGGCTGGGTGGCAGCAGGCAGAGGCCATCTTCCCAGGGTTGAGGGGATTGGAGGCGATGGTGACTCCACCCACCCGGCAGGGGTCGCCTGCTGAGTCACTGGCCCCAGAGATGCCGGACCACGTGGTTGGAAAGGGCTGGCTCCGGGGACTCTCCTGGCATCCGGCACCCGCAGACCAGACCGGGCCAGCCGGTCTGCGCAGCGCTGGGCTCCCTCTGCCCACAGGTGTGGGTTTCACTCACGTCTGGGTTGGGCCCAGGCTGTGTTTTCAAAAATGCCCCTGACCCCCCTCCCAGGAAGTAACTTCACCCCCAGCCCGCACCCTTTCCCCAGCCTGTGTGTGTGTGTGTGTGCACGCGCACACGCGCGTGCATGCACTCAATGACCTTTCCACTTGGCTGGCAAGCCTTTGTTTTCCTCCGTTCTTTCCAATGGGCGATCATGAAAGGAGGAGTTACAGAGACAGAAAAATCCTGGAGACAAATGTTCCCAAACAGGGCGCCCGAGGCTCACACCTGTCATCCTAGCTGCTCGAGAGGCAGAGATCCAAGGATGGCATCGGAAGCCAGCCCGGGCCAGAAAAGTCCCCCTTGAGGCCCTCGTTTCCAATCGATGACCAGAAAGACTGTGGCCCAAGCCTTGGGCACAAAGAGGGCCCTGAGTTCAAGCCCCGGGACTGACCAAAAATAACTTCGGGACTGACCAAAAATAACTTGAAAGTGAGAGAGTTCAGGGAGACACAGATCTCAGCCTCCCGAGTAGCTAGGGTGACCAGCCACCCTGTCCCTTTCTACTCAGATCCCTAGTGTCTGGCTGGGAATTGTGGACTTGGGGAGGGAGAGCAGGGCGGGGTGGGGAGGGGTCCACAACAGCACCCCTCATCGGCAACCTAACAATGATTGTCATCCCCTGTCTGGATCTCAGCTAGTAGATCTGGGGTGTCCCGCAAGGGCAAGAAGGCTTGACAGGGCCATCCCCGCCCCCACCCTGGGTGAGGTGTGTTTGTCAGAGTTACAGCAGCTGCCGCCACCGCCGAAAGCCTCTTCCCAGGAAGAACTGAGCTTCTCTTCCAAGAAATCAGAGGAGGGCGGCGGGAGGGGGTAGTTAATTTTAAACCCAACAGCTTTCCACGCTTCTGGGGAACCAGTTGCTCAACCGGTGCCCTGGCAGGTCCAGGGCGAGCAGGCGGGGCCGGCTCGGTGGGGGTGGGATACACACCCGCGGAGAAGCCCAATGACCTTGAGAGGATTGTGGGGGAGGGAAGGGGAGTCCTCTCTCCCTCCCCCCCCCACTAAGCCCAGTTCCAAAGGCTGGGAGGTGAGGGTGGATGTGTGTGTATGTGAGAGAAAGGGATTTATTCAGTTATAAACAGGCAAGTGACATTTAAAAAAACTTTGATGTTGGTTGTGGGGCTTGAACTCTGGGCCTGGGCGCTGTCCCTAAGCTCTTCAGCTTAAGGCGAGCGCTCTACCACTTGAGCCACAGCACCACTTCGGTCTTGTGGTGGTTTACTGAAGATAAGAGTCTCACAGACATTGCTGCCCCCGCTGGGTCTGGGGACAGCAGGCTGATGGGGTGAGGAGGTGCAGCGTGGACTGTCTGCCTGTAGAAATGTGGGGCTGGGGCTGCAAACTTCCTTTCTGTCCACGTGTGGCCATCCCGTGGCCGATCGGGACTCTGCTGCCCTTGCCTTCCCTGTCTCTAGTCCCTTAGCTTTGTGTGATCACCTGGCAGCCTGAGCATGTGTCTGGCCCCGGGGTCCTCCCTGCAGAGCCCCCTCCGGAGGCCACTCCTCCCGGTCCCAGGCCGCCCAGCAGGGTGCATCCTGGGTTCTGGGAAAGCCACTGCTGCCCCGAGCCGTGCAGTTCTTGGGATCGGCCCTGCAGGGTGAGCGGGCGCTTCCTGGAATCCGTGTGTCCGTTCTGTGAGAGAGGCTCAGGGGACAGTCCATGACCCACAGGGGGTCAGGGACAAAGTGCCGAGGCCTCTGATCGGGTTCCACCTCTGGGAAGCTCTCCCCGATTGCAGGTGTCTCCTTTCCTTAGTCTTCTCAGTTCCCGTCGGGGTTTTTGGTGCTCAAATGACCACTTTCTGCTTCTGGCTGTTTGGAAGCTGGGCAGAGGGGAGAGACTCGCGGCCTTTCCCGCCTGGCCGCCGGGTGGCTCTGAGAGCTCTTCTGGGAAAGGCTTGGGTCTGGCATGGCACAGTCGGTGGGGTGCCCTGCGTGCACCAATGTCAGCTGTGAGGGAAGCTGAGGGAGGGGAGGACGGCCCCTCCCCCACGACAGAAGCCCAGCCCCTGCCTCAGGTCACCCAGATTCCCCCCACCCTCATCGGAGCCTAGGGGAGGCTGCAGGTGGGCCGTGGGCAAGGGAGCAACCTGGGGCCTGGACCGGACTGAGTGGCTGGGAGCATCTGTCCTGGGATCTCAGGGTCAGCGCTATCAGAACTGCTCCTTCCGGGCTCACGCCTGTTATCCTGGCTACTGGGGAGGCTGAGATCTGAGGATCATGGTTTGAAGCCAGCCGTGGCGGGAAAACCCATGACGTGTCACAGATGCTGTGTCCTCACCCAACCTGGAATTCTGCTACACACAGGTGGCCCCAAGGGAGGCCGAGGTGCCAGGCGCTTAGCTGTGACTCAGCGCAAGACAGAAAGTGTGTGTGTGTGTGTGTGTGTGTGTGTGTGTGTGTGTGACGCCCTAAAGGGTTTTGCTTCTCATTTTTCTCTTTCCAAGGCATAGCCGAACTTCCCAGAAACAAAGGTACCCAGAACCAGAGAAACTCTGGGTTCTCAGCGGCCCAGATTTCCCCGTCAGCCCACCTTGGGGTATCACCATCGAGGGGGCTGGGGTAGCCCCTGAGCCCGTGTCTTCAGTTTGAGGAGGAGCTGCTGGCCATGGGGCCGCAGGCTTCAGAGAGGAAGCGGTCACGCGGGTGTGACGGTGATCCACAGGCTCCGTCCCACCCGTGCTCTCCTCTGTCGGTCATGGGGCTTGAACTCGGGACCTGGGCGCTGTCCCCAAGCTCTTTTGCTAGAGGCTGGCACTCTACTGCTTTTGGCCACAACTCAGCTTCAGTTTTTCTTTTCTTTTTTTTTGTCGGTCCTGGGGCTTGAACTCTGGGCCTGGGCGCTGTCCCTCAGCTCTTCAGCTCAAGGCCAGCGCTCTACCACTTGAGCCACAGCGCCACTTCTGGTTTTCTGGTTTATTGGAGTTAGGAGTCTCACGGTCTTTCCTGCCCGGGCTGGCTTTGAACCACGATCCTCAGATCTCACCACCTGAGTAGCTAGGATTACAGGCGTGAGCCACCAGCGCCCGACTCTTTCCCTCTTTTCTTATGAGTTCATACTTGTAAGTAAAAATAAAGGAGAGGCCGTGTTTCCCTACATCCCCACTCAAACCGACGTTTTGCCGGGCATGGCGGCGGGGGCAGGAGTAGGCTCTGGCCTGTGATCTCAATCTGAGGATTTCAGTTCAAAGCCAACCTGGGCTTATCTCCAAGGCACCACCCAAAAGCCTGAAGGGAAGCTTTGGCTCAAGTGGTAGAGAGGTGGAGCTGTGGCTCAAACGAGAGTGCTATGTGACCTAGTGGTAGAGTGCTCGCTTGGCACGCATGAAGCCCTGGGTTCGACTCCCCGGTACTACACAAACAGAAAAAGCGGGAAGTGGCACTGTGGCTCAAGAGGTAGAGAGAGCGCCAGCCTTGAGTCAAAGAGCTGTGGGGCAGCGGCCCGGCCCAGAGTGCAAGCCCCACGACCTACATAAATAAAATAATAACAATAACTAAGGGGAGGAAAGGAGATCACACGAGGTCTTAAGCACAACCCAAACTTAAAACACATTTCGTAGCTGGGCGCCAGTGGCTCACGCCTGTCATCCTAGCTACTCAGGAGGCTGAGAACTGAGGATTGTGGTTCAAAGCCAGCCTGGGCAGGAAAGTCCGTGAAACTCTTATCTCCAAGAAACTACCAGAAAACTGGAAGTGGCACCGTGGCTCAAGTGGTAGAGCTCTCGCCTTGAGCTGAAGAGCTGAGGGACAGCGCCCAGGCCCAGAGTTCAAGCCCCACGACTGACAAAAAAACAAACAAACAAAAAACCCCATTTCATCACAATGTGTTTTGGACTGAGCCAGATCAAAACCACGTCACAGATCCGCGGGTAGACTCGCCGGCTCAAGCCTGCAGTTGAGTGAGTGTCACGCGCAACCCCAGGATTGTGGGTGAATGACCCTTGGCCCCGTCCTTTCCAGGGAATGAGGAACCGAACGTATCCCAGAACCAAAGTTCAGGGTCTAGGCCCAGTCAGCAAATGAGTTGTAAACACACATGGAGGCGTCTCCTAGAAACGGGGAGTCCACGTGGGGGAGTGACGGGAGGCGACATCTCCACAGGCACCTGGAGTCATGGAGAGCCCCATTGGGCACTGCATGTGGAATTCCTAGAAGTCTCCATGGGACTATCGATCACACATACGGCCTGGACTTCTGCACGTGCAGGAACCGGGGCCTGAAGAAACGGGAGTGTGAGTGAGTGTGAGTGTGAGTGTGTGTGTGTGTGTGTGTGTGTGTGTGAGTGGGGGTGGGTGGGGGTGGTAGCATCCGGGCTCCGGGGGAAGGCGCAGGGGGTGGAACGGCTGGAGAGCGTAAGGCCCTGGGCAGCCGTGGGAACCAAGGGCCGGGCAGACATTACCTCCCACACAAGTCCTGGCGCACGGCGACGAGATGGAGGTACGGGTTGGGCCAGCTCTGGAGCCAGTTGCCAACCAGCTCGGGATGTCTTGGGTCTACTTCCAAGAAGATGCTTCTATGTGGAGGAAACGTGGGTCAGCTCAAGTGGGTAGGGGTGGCCTTGAACTCCTGGCTTGCCTGGGCCGGGTGCAGAGAGATGGCCAGGATGCGCCCCAGACGCTCTGGGAGGGGAGAAGACTGCCAGGGACAGATCTAAACAACCCGTCCCATCCGTACCCACAATCCTTCAGGATCCGGGGGGCCAGGGTCAGGATGCTGCAGATGACGTCCATGCCTTCCTCCCCGCCGTCCAGGGCCACGGGGTCTTCGTACCTGAATGCGATGATGGCGGGCAATCAGAGTCCCTAGGAGGAACGTGGCCAGAAAGGCAGGGCCTCCTGGAGCTTAAGATTCTGGGCTGATGGGCTAGGAAGGTGGCTCAGTGGTAGAGCGCTTGCCTTGCATGCCTGAGGCCCTGGGTTCAATTCCTCAGCACCACATAAGCAAAAAGAAAAAACCTGGAAGTGGCTCTGTGACTCGAGTGGTAGAGCGCTAGCCTTGAGCTGAAGAGTTGAAGGACAGCGCCCAGGCCCAGAGTTCAGGCCCCACGACCGGACCCAAAAAAAAAAAAAAAAAAAAAAATTCTGGGCTGAGAGGCAAGAATGGGGACCCAGGGAAGTGATCCCCTAAATGGTGACATCTCCTATTGAGCCATCCACCATGGGCAGGGCCAGGTCCCCTGGGTGTGGGTTGGGGTCTCCAGTCCCAGGCTATTTCCTGCACGTGGGCCCCGGGTGGTCTGGAGCTGGTCCTGCCAGCTCCCGAGAGGCTAGAAAAGAGGATGCGAACACCCTGAAACACACGAGCACTCCTTACCCATTGGGGAGCTGCCTGCCTATGTCTGGTTCTCCCCGGTGGAAAAGAAGGATGGGAAAGCTAGGAGGAGGAGGGTTTTAGTCCCGGCTTTCCAGCGAAGTGCTTCTGGAACTTTAGACGAAGCGCTTTCCCTCTCCTGACCTCGGTCTTCTGTAATATGACTACTGAGCACTTTCTATGAGGGCTTCACTGCATCCACTTTTTCTTTTTGATCGGTTATGGGGCTTGAACTCGGGGCCTGGGTACTGATCGTGGTATCTTTCTGCCCTCAAGGCTAGCGCCACCTCCAGTTGGAAATTGGAGATGAGAGTCTCACGGACTTTCCTGCCCGGGCAGGGAACTATGACCTTCCAGATCTCAGCCTCCCGAGTAGCCGGGATGACAGGCGTGAGCCACCGGTACCCGGCTTCCAGTGCCTCATTCTTTAGAATTTCCACCTAGTCCTCCTTAGGGCCCAGGAGACAGACACTCCTCTACCTCTCTCGGGGAAAGAAAAGGGAGGCTGGGAATGTGAGTAGGGCCCCTCCACATCTACTCCTAAGCTCCCACCCGCCTCTTCTAGATGGCGTGGTCCTCCGGGGCTGATCAGACCCGCTAGGTCTCCCCCGCCCTGCCCTGTATCCACCCCTACCCGGTACCTGAGGATTTCTGGGGCCAGTTGCTCCATGTCCTGGTGGAAGACGTAGGGAGGGTTGCTGACGACCAGATCCAGGGGTGCCCAGGGCAGAAGGGGTGTCCAGCTCCCCTCTGTCAAAGGAGACACAAAGCATGGATGGATCTACTAAGAGCTACAGGGCATAGCCCGCCACCTGTAGCCAAGGTCCCTTGGGTAGCTGGGTTTTTTGACGGTTGTAGGGCTCGAACTTGGGGCCTGGTTGCCGTCTTTGAGCTGCTTTCACTCCAGGCGAGCGCTCTTCCACCCGAGCCACAGTGCCACTTTTTCTGGCTTTTTCTGTGTCTGCGTAATGAGGACTCGAACCCGGGACTTCGGGCATGTTAGGCAAGCACTCTACCGCTAAGCCAGGTTTCCAGCCCTGGATAAGCCTTGTTCTGATATGACACCTCAGGCCTGTGTCTGGATGGTCTTGAAGCTCTGTACCCAGAGTTTCTTACTGGCAGCCCTGGCTGGAAACACACGCTCTGGTATGGTGTGTTTTATCTAAGACGTCCCTGCTCTGCTTCCTGTCAGATCCTCTCTGAAGCGAGAGCCCTTTTCCAGTGCTGCCTCTAAGAAGTCTGCTCCGATTGCCCAGGCAAGGCAGGAGCCCCTCTCCTCTGCAGGCCGCTAGCCTTGTAGCTCTCACCTTCCAGCCAGTGAGCACTGAGAGCGCACAGAGGGGAAGGCCCGGCTCCCGCCACCCGACTCCTGCAGGCTCTGATTCCTGATTCCTGATTCCACCCTGTGCCTGTAATCACTCTCCATGAGAGACGCACACAAGGCCCGGGTGGTCTGTGGGCGACAAGACGGGGGCTGTTGCTTTGTGTGGGCTTGAACTCAGGATCTGGGAGCTGTCTCTCTGAGCTTTCCTGTTCCAGGCAGGTGCTCTACCACTTGAGCCACAGCTCCACTTCTGGCTTTTTGGTGGTTCCTTGGAGAGAAGAGTCTCATGGGCTTTCCAGCTTACGGCTGGCTTCCAACCATGATCCTCAGATCTCAGTCTCCAGAGTAGTTGGGATGACAGGCGTGAGCCTGAGCCGTGGGTGTAGGGCACCCAAGCCTTTCCTCTGAGGAGCTGTATATCTCGTGTCAACAAGCAAGCCCAAGTGAAAATAATCAAATAAGGGGATCAAGATCCTTTCTTAGGTTAGGTAAGCCAAGGAGACCTTGGGAAAGGCTAGTCTGAGATGGCCTAGGTGTGTGTGTGTGTATGCGCGCGCGCGCATGTGCGCGTGCGTGGCTGTCGGGGATCCCTACCCCCATCTCTGGGGCGCCTCATCATCCCGGTGGCGAGTGCATGCAGGCTCCCCCCCACCCCAAGGAAGGTGGGTGAGGGAGGGTACCTGACGTCACATCAAGGGGGATGACCCGAATTCTATCCTGCAACCGAAGCCTGCAGAGAGAAAGGACGGAGGGAGAGGTTTAGGGGAACAGCAAGGGAAGCCCCTTACCTTTTGCTACAAGCACCAGAGAGGAGAGTGAACCCATCCTTTCTGGCAGTAAGGTATCCAGTGCCCATTGTTCATTGATTTTAGTATTTTGGCGGGGGAGTCCTAGGGCTTGGACTTGGGGCCAGGATGATGGGCGAGAGCTGCCAGCACTGGACCCCACCATCCAAAGCCAGTAGGGTCAGTGCCGCACTATACCCCCCTTGTTGGGAGTGGGAAGCAGACATGGGTGGGTCTGATACAGCCTAGCTACCTTCGAGCATTGTCCCGGGTCAGTCTGATGGCGGCTTCCTCCTTATCCACGGCGATGACTTGGCTCTGTCACAAGAACAAATGTCCCCCGGGGAGGTGTCAGGCCTGGGGACATTCCTCTGTGCACCCCCACCCCCACCCCAAAACGACACACTCCAGGGAAGAAGACACGAAGTGTCTTTTTTTTTCCCTCATAGCCAGGGTCTGGCCAGATGGTGGGGGTGAGGATCAGAGGCTCGGGATCGCGCGGGGGGGGGGGGGGGGGGGGGAGGGGACAGGGTGACTTGAGTGTCTAGCGGAGGGCCGTGGGGAGGGACTCACGGGATGGACGATGGATAACTGTCTCGGCCTTGGCGGTGCACAGAGGGGCTTACCTCGGGGAGCTGGTTCAACAGGCTGAGCGAGACGGCTCCTGACCCACAGCCCACCTCCAGAATGAGGGGGCCGCCTTGGGTTCCAGCCACATGGGGACGCTGGGCCACCTCCTCCAGCACCCATTCAACCAGTTCCTGTGAGCGGGGAGCAGGGTGGAAGAGACTCAGAACTGGACTTAACTGGGCACCGCTGGTGGCCCCCATCTGTCACCCTAGCTATTCAGGAGGCTGAGATCTGAGGATCGTGGTTCAAAGCCAGTCTGGGCAGGAAAGCCTGTGAGACTCTTTTCTCTAATACACCACCAGAAAACCGGAAGTGGCGCTGTGGCTCGAGTGGTAGAGCGCTACGCTTGAGCTGAAGAGCACAGGGACAGTGCCCAGGCCCAGAGTTCAAGCCCCACGGCTCCCAAAAAAAGAGAAGTGGACTTAACGGTACCCATTGTCCTAGGTGGTGTTAGCAAAGATGTCAGGCTGAGCTTCCTGTCAGCTGGGGGTCATGAGTAGGTCACCCAGCTTCCCTGTGCCCCCATTTCCCCAGCTGCAAAACTGAACACAGTGAAGGGTCCCCTTCCTCTTGGGGACAGGGTAAGGATGAAAGAGGGCCATGTTTGTTTCATAAGCCCATGTGTGTTGCATGACTAAGTAAATAATACACCCCAGCTGTATCTTCCCGTAATCTGCTCAGAGGATTGCCGAGAGAGAACTGTATGGCCGCCCCCCTCTGTGCCAGAGATCTCTATATTAATCCCTTGTTTCCTCACAACTGTCCCGAGAGGAGACTGAGGTTCAATGGTCGAGGCCCAACCCAGAGCCTCGCCTGTGGTCAAGAATCGGCTGCCGTGGACTAAGAGACCGTGAGAATCCGTCTACATCAATGACTGAGCACGTCACCACATGGCTGCCATCCCAACTACAGAGGACCGGGCATGGTGGCACATACCTGTAACAAATTCATAGATCGGCTTTCTATCTCAGAAATGCCCAAGACGGAAAGGATCGGCTCGCATGGTAGAATACCTGACTGGCGAGCATCAGGCCTTGAGTTCAAACCCTAAGGTACCTAAAAGGACCAGAGGCCCGGGTGCCAGAGGCTCATGCCTATAATCCTAGCTGCTCGGGAGGCTGAGATCTGAAGATCACAGGTCAAGACTTAAAATAGGTTTGGCCTCACCCATCAGATGTCACGATGAGAAGACCTGGAGTCTGACCTCCCATGGTGCGCTCCATACTAGCAGGGCTGGCATCCTGTCTATGTGCTGGCCACGCTCTCAGAAGTTACCAAAGAGTCCAGCCCTCCTTGTTACAACCCATTTCTACACACACACACACACACACACACACACACACACACACACACACGCACACGGCCAGCACTGTTATCCTAGCTATTAGGAGGCTGAGATCTGTGGATCACGGTTCAAAACCAGCCCCTGCAACACACTAGCGTTGAGCACAGAAGCTCAGAGACAGCACCCAGGCCCTGAGTCGGAAGGCCCAGATCCTCTACTCTAAACACATGTACACAAACACAAGGACAGCACAAGTCCTTGAGCAGCTGTCCCTGAGCACCCCGAACACCCTCCATTCAGATCACATGTCAACCCCGAGAGGGTGGTAGTACCATTCTCACACCAACTGCAGATACCACTCGGAGCCTCTCACACATCCCGAATGGCTGATGACCCAGCATGGCATTACCTACTGTACACACTGCTCTGCTGAACACTCAGCCACCTTTTCCTTTTGTTATTGGTCATGGGGCTTGAACTCTGGGCCCAGGCACTGTCCCTCAGCTCTTCAGCTGAAGGTGAGCGTTCTACCACTTGAGCCACGGTACCACTTCCTATTTCCTGGTGTGTTCACTGGAGATAAAGTCTCAATGACTTTCCTGCCCGGGCTGGCTTTGAACCGTGATCCTCAGATCTCAGCCTCCTGAGTAGCTAGGGTGACAGGCGTGAGCCACCAGCGCCCGGCTTCGGGGACCTTCTTAGACCCAGGGGAAACCCGACTCATCAGGCTACAAACCACTTGCAATGCTTTACTTCAGATTCTGACACCCAGCATCCAAAAGCATCCTTCAATGGATGGAGAAAATACAGACACTACGATCCCACCCCAGCACCCATTCGCCCACAGGCCACGTCCTCTTGAGTTCTTGGTAAGGTACCGCCCACCGTGCTGTGGCTTCACACTGGGGCAAACCTGGGAAGTTCTTAGAAATGTCTGTGCACTGAGGCCAGCACCTGGTCTCCCAACCACAGCACCCCCCACCCCTTCACCGTCTCTCCCAGCCAACAATGTTTTACTTTCTCTTTCTTTATGGGTCGTGAGGCTTGAACTCTGGGCCTGGGCACCATCCCTGAGCTCTTCAGTTCAAGGAGAGCGCTCTACCGCTTGAGCCCACAGCGCCACTTCCGGTTTTCTGGTGGTTTATTGGAGTTAAGAGTCTCATGGACTTTCCTGCCCAGGCTGGCTTTGAACCGTGAACCTCAGATCTCAGCCTCCTGAGTAGCTAGTAGTAGTAGTAGTCTCCTGAGTAGTAGTAGGTTGACAGGCGTGAGCCACTGGCACCCAGCCAAAGATGTATTTGCATGCTTGCCATCCCAGCTCCTCAGGAGGCTGAGACCTGAGGACTGTAGTCACCCCTGGCAGGAAAGTCCATGCGACCCTTATCTTCAATGAAACAACCAAATGGCTCAAATGGTAGAGTGCTTGCTTGGAGCATAACAGACATGGGATAGGACCCAGGCCCTGGTTTCAAGCTTTTTCTAGCATAGACCCACCCAAGAAAGGGAAGCGGGTGGGCACACGGGAGCTCAAAGCTCAGGCATAATACTGGAGACTCGCAGAATACCCCATCCTGCTCTGAGTCTCTGTATTCTATGTCCTAGATCATGGCGGTCTTAGATGGGACCCACCATGCATGAAGTCAGGACGTTCAAATTCAATCTCCTACTGAGGGTTCCTGGACCTTATCAAGGTTGGGGGGGGGGGGAGAGGAGAAGGGAGGTTGTAGGTCCCTCTCTATCGGGAAGGTGAAAAGGTCTGATCCATCCCAGGAACATTCTGCCAGCCTCTTCCCGGCCCTGCCCCACCTTCAGTCTGTCTTCTCTGAATCCCAGCTCTGCCATGTAGAGAAAAGGCTGAGCCAGCAGAGAGACCCACCTCTGCCTCTGAGAATGGCAGCCATGGAGCGCCAGCACCCCCTAGAGGAAGTCTCCGAGCAACACGGGTCCCCTGACTCCCGCCCTCATTCCCAGGCTGTCCTGAGCTTACTTCTGTCTCTGGCCGAGGAATGAACACGGGGGGTGTCATCTTCAGATTGAGCCCTCGAAAGTCCCAGTCTCCAAGGATGTACTGCACGGGCATCCTGCGGTGGACCACAGCCAGGTGGTCAATAGTGAACCCAAGGTGCAGGACTTTTACTAGCGGTGTGGTGTGGTCGAAGGCTCTATCATGGGTGATCTAGGCTGTCAGGTGGTGGCTCTGATGTCCTGAGACACCTGACCTGGATTCGCCCTCCCTCTTCATCTTCCCGCTTATCCCTCGCCCCCCCCCCCACACACACACTCCCTTACCCCATACCTTCCCTAGCCCTCAGACACGACACTTTCTTCTTCTCTGACCAGAGAAGAAGCCAGGGGAGACTGAGACCCTGTGACCCACACAGAGCTCTAGGGTGTACCCGAGGCTGCTTACCTCTGCAGTCGGAGACTACAAAGCTTGTGGATGTCATGGAGTTGCGGAGGGGTCAGTGGCTTGGTCCTACATACTGGCTTTAGGCTCTGAAACTGTCCCCACAGAGACTGTGAATGGTTGGCTCCCTTGATCCGGGGACTCCAAACCAAGGCTTGCATGTTCCCTTCTTCCTTCTTTTCCACCTTTTCTCCCTCCATCCTTCCCTCCCCTCTCTCTCTCTTTTTGCCAGTCCTGGGCCTTGAACCCAGAGACTGGGTGCTGTCCCTGCGCCTTTTTACTCAGGGCTAGCAGTCTAAGGCTTAAGCCACAGATCCTCACTTCTGGCTTTTTCTTTTTGGTAGCTGATTGGAGGTAAGAGTCTTACAGGCTTTCCTGTCTGGGCCTTAAGCCTCGATCCTCTGATCTCAGCCTCCTAAGTAGCTAGGATGACAGGCGTGAAGCAGCAGCATCCAGCTCAAACCAAGGTTTCTTCATGTGCTGTGGAACTGGCCCTGGAACCTTTCATTGTCTATGACCCCCTGGAGCCTGGCACACACCGTAACTGTTTGTTGGAGAAATAAATGAGCATCTGTCTATGACACTACTGCAGAAAAGTCCCGTCCCATTCAGCTAAGCATCCTCAGTAAGGTGGGACAAAACCTTGTATAGCTCTTCCACAGTTCCTCCTTCCTCTACCCGCCCTCCTGATACCACTGCTCTTAACTGTTTTGGCTCCAAGGACATGAGCTACAATGTACTCGCTGGATTCCTGGGCCTCTGGGATGCCTCTTTTCTCAAAGATCTCTGTCCAGCGGCGGACCAGCTCTGTGGCACTTGATTCCCCGGTCGGGTGTGAATGAGGTTGCTGTGAGCCAAAGGCCCGGCTCAAGAGGCCTCCTCTCCTCCGCCTGGGGCCAGTCAGGAGGGTCCACCACATCCGGCCCCCAAGTTTCATGTTGCAGAGAGAGGATCCTGGAGGGTGTCTGAATCTCCGGGATTCCAGGGCAGGTGCTGGGAATCGTCTCTGGACACAGCTGGCAGGCTGGGGAGGGAGAGGTCACAATCTCTGCTCCCCACGATGTCCTCGACCGTGGTGGTCACCCTGGAGAGAGCCGGAGGAGACTCAGCAGCTGCCAGAGAAAGGCGGTCAAGGCACCACGTTCACAGCAGGAGACGATCTGGCTTGGGAACTCTGCCTGGGCCACTCTGAACATCATCGTTTGGCGGCTGACATCGTCCCTCTCATTGGACCCCTAATCCCAGGCATTCGCAGAAATTGCCAGCTTAGAAACACAAAGCAGCCGGGCGCTGGTGGCCCACGCCTGGCATCGCAGCTCCTCGGGAGGCTGAGATCTGAGGATCGCGGGTCAAAGCCAGCCCGGGCAGGAGAGTCTGTGACACTCACATCTCCAATGAAGCACCACAAAACCGGAAGTGACGCTGTGGCTCAAGGGGTCGCCCACCACGGCCCAGCTGCGCCCTCCCCCTCCCCCTCCCCCACCCCTCCTCCTCCTCCCCCCCCCCCGCCCCCCACCGCGGGCTCCGGGAAACTGGCGCCGCAGGATCCACTTCCGGATGCGTGCCGCCGAGGATGCGCGCCTCCCGAGCCGCACTTCCGGTCGGTGCGGTCCGGAAGAGGGCTCGGGCGGGCCCGGCGGCTCGGCACCCGCGTTCCGAGGCGCTGAGTGTCCCCTTGCTGGGCTGCGTGGCTCCACTCGGTCGCGCGGACTTTCCCACCCCGGCCGGCTCCGAACCGCGTGCCTCAGACGCCAGCCACCCTGAATAGTCAGGAGGAGCTCGGACCGGAGGACAGGATGCACCCTGTGGAGGACTAAGCATATAGGGCCCCACTGAAGGACTCGGCACACAACACCCTTTGAAGGACTCAGCAGACAGCACCCTGTGTAAAAGACTCGGCACAATGGGCCCGCATTCGTCTCCCAGGTGAGTCAGTTGGTGGCCAAACTGCTGGGGATTGATTGGAAATTACATTGTGCCTACAGACCCCAGAGTTCAGGACAGGCAGAAAGAATGAATAGAACAATTAAGGAGACTTTAACTAAATTGACGCTTGCAACTGGCATGAAGGACTGGGTGTTCCTCCTACCCCTAGCCCTTTATCGAGCCCGCAATACCCCAGGCCCCCATGGCCTCACCCCTTTTGAAATTCTGTATGGAGCTCCCCCACCTGCTGTTAACTTCCTTGACCCAAATGTCTCCAACTTTGCTAATAGCCCCTCTTTGCAAGCTCACTTACAGGCACTCCAGATCGTCCAGCGGGAAGTCTGGAAGCCTCTGGCGGCAATATATCAAGATCACCAGAGCCACCCCGTCGTGCCTCATCGCTTCCAGATAGGGGATTCCGTGTGGGTCCGCCGCCACCAGACAAGAAATTTGGAACCCCGGTGGAAAGGCCCGTACATCGTCCTCCTCACTACTCCTACGGCTGTAAAGGTAGACGGAATCGCCGCCTGGATCCACGCGTCCCACGTCAAGGCTGCCCGGGCCCCGGAGGAAACCTCAGAGACCCCAGCCTGGAAAATACAGCGCACTCAAAACCCCCTAAAGATAAGATTTACTCGAACATGATTCCCCTCTTTTGTCTTTTGCTGCTATCTCAACTGTGCCTCACCTCCCCCAACCCACATCAGCCCATACAACAAACTTGGCAGATCATATCTGGTACTGCAGATATAATTTGGCAGATTAGCTCTGGAGACCATCCCTGGGGTACTTGGTGGCCGGACCTTACTCCTGATTTTTGCCAATTGGTGGCTGGAGTAACTTCGGGCCAATGGGACATACCTAATGCCATGTTTACTAATATTCCTGTAAATAGCTGCTCTAGCCTTTTGGACTATAGTTATCTTCTTTCTCGTGGCGAGCCTCATAATTATTACGGTTGCTGTTCACCTGACAAAAGAGAGGAGCTAGCCAGACATGATTTCTATGTCTGCCCTCGGGATGGCAGGTCCCGAGCTGCCGCCAATACATGTGGACAGTCGGATAAATACTATTGTGCCTCATGGGATTGTGAAACAACGGGAGATGCATATTGGACACCCAGCTCCTCCTGGGACTTAATTAATGTAAAAAAAGGACGCCCCTGGGCTACTTTATGTAAAACCAATGCCACCTGCTTGCCCCTAAAAATATCCTTTACGGATAAAGGTAAAGCCTTACTTCCAGCTTTATGGATGGCAGGCAGACAGTGGGGACTGAGATGGTATTTAACCGGCCCAGACTTAGGGATAACATTTCAAATTAGGCTACGTAAAGAAATGACCCCTATTTTGCCCATCGGGCCCAATCCAATTTTGTCAGACCCCAGGGCCCCCGCCGCTAAAAACCCCACTAGGTTTACCCCCTCCCTCACTTTTACCCCTTTCTCCTTGCTCCCCTCTACGGCCGTCCCGGCCTTACTAGGGACAGACAATCGGCTCATTAACTTGGTCAGAGGGGCCTATACCGCTTTAAACTATTCAGATCCGAACCGCACTGAAAACTGTTGGCTTTGCCTAACCTCTAGCCCTCCTTACTACGAGGGCATTGCTGTGGGTGCCAACTTCACCAACCACACCAGCCCCCCTACCATTTGTAACTCCTTGCCCAGTCACCAGCTGACCCTTCCAGAGGTGTCAGGAAGTGGAGTATGTTTAGGTAACGTTCCTTCATCCCACAAAATCCTATGCAATCTAACTCAGACTGTCCCCACTGGGTCCTATTACTTGGTTCCCCAGGGTGGACTCTATTGGGCTTGTAACACCGGCCTCACCCCATGTGTGTCAGCAGCTGTCTTTAACCAAAGCCAGGATTATTGTGTACTTGTACAAATTTGGCCCCGAATCACCTACCATCCTGATGATTTTGTCCTACGATATTTCGAGGACCCTATACACAGAAACAAAAGGGAACCTGTAACCATTACATTAGCTGTTCTTTTAGGTCTTGGAGGAATATCGGCCGGAATCGCCACAGGAACCACAGCCCTGATGAAGCCAGATCAGTACATGCTCCTCCAACAGGCTATGAATGACGACCTAAAAACCTTAGAAAAATCCATCCGGGCACTAACTGACTCCGTAAGCTCCTTAGCCGAGGTAGTCCTTCAAAATCGAAGGGGGTTGGATTTGCTCTTTCTTAAGGAAGGGGGCCTATGTGCAGCCTTAAAGGAAGAATGTTGTTTTTATGCTAACAAAACAGGAGTAGTAATCAGGACCCTAGATAAACTCAAAGAAAGATTAGATAAAAGACAGCAAGAATTAACATCCCAACAGAGCTGGTACGAAGGATTGTGGAACAAGTCCCCGTGGTTCACTACCCTATTATCCTCCCTGATGGGACCACTAATACTATTAATGCTAATTCTTACCTTAGGCCCTTGCATTGTAAACCGCTTGATACAATTTGTAAAAGACCGCCTATCAGTCGTGCAGGCCCTGGTGCTAACACAACAATACCATCAACTTAAAACAACAGAAACCCCGGTTGAATGAAGGATTTCATTCGGGCAAAAGAAAATGGGGGAATGGAAAATGAAAGACCCTAGTATATGTTTTGCCACTAGGTCCCCCAGTAAACCTGCTGACCAACCCCCCCCTCCCGCAAAACTAAGCCTCCACCAAAAAGGGCCAGGCAGGATGTTGTGGTTAAACCGTTGACCAGAAATGAGGAACAAAGAGTCTCTGAGTTAACAGTTAAAGGGCAAGTACAGACACGTCAGCTAACTCCACTGACCTTGCCTAACCCGCTCGCCTGACTCAACCTGACCAATCCCCACCCTAAGCATGACTCAAACTAGCCAATCAACACCCTGTAACCAGGCATCTCGCTTCTGTAACCTTGCTTTCAGCCGCCCATAAAAAGGGGTGCTTTCATGTGCCCCGGCGCGCAAGTCTCCCGATAGACTTTGTCGCCCCGGGTACCCGTGTGAAGGCAGGTTCCCAGCCACCGACCCGAACCTTGTGGATCTTGAGGTCGTGTGTACCTGGGAGCCTGGGCATGCCTGAATAAACCTCTTGCTGATTGCATCCACACAAGTGGTCTCGCTGTTCCTTGGGAGAGGGTCTCTCCAGGTTGAAGGGCACCCCAAAACACTGGGGGTCTTTCAACAGCACCCTTTGAAAAACAGCCCGTCCCTCTCTTCTCAAGGACTCAGCATATAGCACCTGGTGCTCTGGTGGCTCATGCCTGTCATCCTAGCTACTCAGGAAGCTGAGATCTGGAGGATCGTGGTTCCAAGCCAGCCCAGGCAGGAAATCATGCAAGACTCTTATCCTCAATGAACCGCCAGACAACCAGTAGTGGCCCCGTGGCTCAGGTGGTAGAGAGCTAGCTAGCCCTGAGCAAAAGAGCTCAGGGATAGTGCTCATGGCCGACAGCAACAAGAAAAGGCATCGCATGTGGGGTTTGGGGTTGGCATGGGCCAAATATAATTGGAATTTTCAAGTGCTCCAAGATAAAGCAGTACCTCCTTTAGTCCCACGCTCCTCCATCTTAAATCACCCCAGGCCAAGGCTTCGGGTCAGCATGGCCCTGGTTGGACGGGAGAGCTCCAAGGAGGAAGATCTCAGAGCAATCGCCCTGCCTCCTTCCACCGTTTACCCTGTTGCTTCTGCTCTTTGCCTTAGACCTTCTTCCTGGAATCCATCCGTGTGGACCCCGAGGTCATCACCACCGACGTAGTGGTGAGTGGTAGGTTTGGCCTAACTCGGGGCAGTCAGAGGCGGAAGCCAGTCTGGGACTAGAAGCTTCCACTCTGGATGAGGGCTGAGGCCAAGGCTGATTTCTATTTGACCCTGAGCCTTGCAGGGGTGGGGAGACAGTGGAGACTCCATGTTGAGTCAGGTAAGATCGGAATCCGGAGGACCACTTGTGTGGGGGAGGCTGTGGGGCTCAGGGGGCCTCCATTCTTGGTCCTCCTTTCTCGGGACTCCCCTCTCCCTTTCTCATCCCCGAATGCTAGAAGAGAAACTTCAACTAGGGGTGTGGGAAGAGTATTTCTGTGTGAACCAGACTTGTTCTTCATTTTCACCACAGCCCCTACTTCCTATTTATCTGAGGAAGGGCCATGTGAGTTTAGGGGGGAAATCATCCTAGCTGAGAATGTGGCTCCGTGGTAGAGCGCTCACCTAGCGTGCAGGAAGCCCTGGGTTCCATTCCTCAGTACGCCACACACACAGAAAAAGCCAGAAGTGGCACTGGGGCTCAAGTGGTCGAGCACTAGGCCTTGAGCAAAAACAACTCAGGGACAGTGGCCAGGCCCTGAGTTCAAGCCCCAGGCCTGGAAGAACAAATCTTTGTTGGAGGCTTTTATTTTTTCCTTTGCAAACAATTTATTCTTTGTGATACACATAACATGGGCTTCTTCCCTGGCCACCAATGAGCCATTAGTGATCCCGTGAATTGGGGCCACCTCCCAGCAGCCCACAGTGTCCCCTTCCTGTCACCCAGCAGATGGAGACCTGAGAGAAGGCCACCCGGCTGCCTGCATCTCTAGGTGGTGGCTGCCGAGGCTTTGGAGAGTCAGTATGTCACATAGAGAGTCATCCGTTCTTTACATGACCCGAGGGACTCCTTGGCGGCGGCGGGGGGGGGGGGGGGGGGGGGGCCTGGGAGTCCGTGTCACTCTAGGTCTGGGGACATCTCCTTGGGGAGACCCAGGAAGCTCAGCTGGGCTTGCAGTCACTGCTTCTGTACTTCCAGGCACTTGAGAGTTTCCTGCCACTTTGGGGGTACCACCTGTTCCCCCCACAGTCGGTCTGGCCCTGTACCTGCTTCAGCTGCTCCCGCCGCCCGGTCTGCTGCTCCTTCTTGGAGCTCAGCCGCTCAGGGGACACCAGGTACTGTTCACAGGTGGCTCTGAGCCCCTGCAGCTTGGCTCTCTCTTTCCATTCCTCTCTCTTCTCCTCTGAGCGGTCCAGCTGTTCCCGCAGATGTTTCTTCACCTGCTGCTCTGAGTTCAGGATGCTGGCCAGCTCCTCCTCCTCACCGCCCACCCTGTGGAGAGCGTCCCGCAGCAGGGCCAGCTAGCTGTTCCTTCGGCTCTTGGTCACGCACACGCGTGCATCGCGGGGTCTCGGGGATCTCCTGCTGATCCTCAGCCTTCTCCAGTCTTTCTCCCATGGATCCTGCAGGTCTGTCTTCTCCTGCCTCAGTGGTTGGATCGTGGCACAGAGTTCCAGGTTTCTTCTTTGGCTGCGGTCCAGGGCGGGCACCACGTGTTGGTAGCAGCTCTGCAGATCCTTGGTGGTATCCAGATCCTTGATGCTCTGGACCCTGCTGGCTGTGACCCTGCCCACAGACAGGGGAGGCTTGGGATCAGGGTCACCTTTGACTGGACCC